TTAGGGGCTAACGAGCTCCATCTGCCCGGGGAGGGGCCCCGACCGGGAATTGAACCCGGGTCTCTGCAGTGACAGTGCAGTGTCTTTTCCCCTGGACCACTGGGGGTTCCCATTCACATGTCTATGCAGCTGCATAAAGACATGCAATCTCACAGAAAACCAAGGTGTCAACTTGATTTTTTCTTAAAAACTCCCACTGCATTTTCAGCAGCAGATTAAAGAAAACCAGATTTCACAGAAAACAACAGGAACAGAATACACAAAGAAAGTTAATCCGAGATTGGTTCCACAGCCAGACTCATATTTACTGCATGTGGTTTGAGCACATTTTCCTAGATTTGACTACCCTAATTTAATTTCTAATATACTGACTTGTTTCAAGGTACTATTCTGGTTCACACAGCTAAATTTGTAACTATTCGGACAAAGTAGATTTGGATTGATAGTCCAACCTTCCCCATTCCCAGTCCTTCACATCATCTGCTGTCCTAAGTCAAACAGTTTGGTTATATTGAACATTCCCAGTGGATTGATCAATTCCTATGTATAAATAACTTACAGGTAATATTTTCTTCAGGCCACAACGTAAAAACTCATTTCTCAAGTGTATCCTGAAATCCAGATCTTCTGGAGACGTAACAAGGGCATTGATGAGCTGCATACAAGCTATCTGTTATGAGAAATAGAGGTAGAAAGCTTTAGTAAGTATAGAGTGAAAATCAATACTGTATTTCCCTATTAAAATTTAATTATAAAAACAAATACCAAGATATAGATATTATTTATCATGTGGTACACATGCAATACTTGGGTTCATTTTAGCAAAATCAAATTCTGCTCTGTTTCCTTATCACGATGCTTCTGCTATGTCAACATCATATCCCATGAAGGATCATCACAGAATTATATCAGAGAATTGCTTGTGTTGGAAGGGACATAAAGATTATCTCATTCCAACCCCCCTGCCACAGGTAGGGATGCCTTCCCCTAGACCAGGTTGCTCCAAGCCCTGTCCAGCCTGGCCTTGAGCATCTCCAGGGATGGGGCAGCCACACCTTCTCTGTGGAACCTCTGCCAGTGCCTCACCACCCTCAGAGCAAAGAATTTCTTCTTAATATCTAATCTAAATCATACTAGTTATTTCCAAACTACAGCTGCACATCCCAGCTCCTTCTCTGTCTCGTCAGTATTCACCAGTTTGAAAACAAACTGTTTCTACGGTAACTAAAAACCTTAAAGAAAAAACAGAACAACCCAAAAAACACCCATATGCAAAATAAGTCACATCACCAGGTGTGCGTGGTCTGTTCTTGCACCACACTTTTGCCAAATGTCTGAAGTCTGAGGATAGTGGCTAATGCTTTAATTGAACAGCTGTGCACTTAAATTGATTTACTTGAACACAGGTAGACAACAGCATAATGCCAAATGTGCTGATCCACATGAAAAGACTAAAATGGGACTCCTGGGGAATACCAAGTTTGGTAAAAAACGCTAACTGCAAATAGAAGTTGCATTAGAGTAGGACAAAAAAAATAAAAAAATCAATAACTGCACTGGAAAAAAAGTCAGATAAAAAGCACCCTTCCTGTTTTAATTACATTCACTATTTAGTTTTAATGGAACACCTTATGGAGTCTCAAATTTCTATTAAAACACCCTTTCAAAGGCAATCCCTTTATATAGCTGCATCTTCAGATAATGCAGTATCATCATGCTTGCTTGAATGATTCTTGTTATTTTACTACTATGACATGACTTAACAAGCCAAAGTACATGTCCAATCTGAAATTAATAGAGAGAAGAGGTGCCACCTGCTATGATTGCTTCTGCCAGGAGAGACTCTGGCTTAATGGCTTGTGCTAATACATTACAAGTAAAGAACGATTTTGTCAGAAACAAGTTAATGAGTCTTGCAATTGTACCTTTACTGAGGTATTAGTGAGGTTTTGGGAGGGAGAGGTTGGCAGGAATGGTGTGTAGTTGTTTTTGTTTGGTTTAAATCAACAAGGTCATAAAGTAGGAGACAACTTCAGAATGAATTCTATAGTGATAAGCTATTAAGATTATAATGTCATTTACAGAAACTTATTGAACATCATTAACTCATGAGTTCTGAAAAAAGAACTACTGATGGTAAACATCAGCATTAAGACAACTAAAGCTGACATGTACTTGATCCAATACTGCAGAAAGGCCCCTTCCATGCAAGGTACCTGCCCTGCCCGCATTGCACTTTTCCCCATCTTTCAGCCATGGAAGCTGAAATACAAATTTTAGCAATACAAAATGTGTCTAAATACTGTGTTATGAGAAGGACATAAGTCAAAGCCATCCTTTAATAGGATATTCAGCCACATGGTCTCTGCGCTTGCATTTTAAAGGCAACCAAAACTCAGGCTATTCAGGTGCTCACAGAGAATACAAACCTCTATCCACATAAGCAATAATGAATGTGATATAGGACATGATTTAGTAAAGATCACTGGCACAGAATATTTATTTCATTATTTTACAAAAACAATTCTACAAACTCAGTAGATTACCCTTAGAGATGCACTAGTGGCTGATGGAGGGCATATGTTGAACACACAGCAAGGAATGCAGAGTTCTTGTTGACAAAAGGACCACTGATATTCTGCTGCACAATACTCTTCTCAAAAGGTACCCTGCCAAAAATGGGCACACCCAATTCCACAGCTGTCATAATTAGCATATATCTGAATATTTGAAAGGCACACTTACACTGCTGCCAAAAGTCCCAGCACTACTAACAGATTTATTACCTGAACATGACATCTGGCATCCAAGAAAAGGAGTATCATTAATTATTGTCTTTTTCCAAGATCAAGACTTTAGGGACAAGGAAGTGAGTTCCTTGGTTTCACACCATTAGCAATTATAAAATCTAATACCAGTAGGCCATTTGCATGTATTTCTCCTCTTTTACTGCACACTGGAGTAATAGCACTATCTTAGCTGGCAACTAATTTAAAGATCACAAAGTAACACACATAGTATTTTAGGTGATTTTTGAAGTGTTGGTAAGCACACATAAAAGTTAACTCACCTGCAGCTGTATGAATTCATGGTTCTCCAGTCCTTCAACAATCTGAGAAAAACGTTCTTCCCTATTGTTCCTTTCAGCAGCAGTTGTTATAGCAGCTAAAAGCTTGTCCAGACTAAAAGAAAGATAAACTGTCAAAAAGCACAGCACAGCCAGCTTGAACATACTCAGCAATTCAATTTCTACAACTCAAGAGCACTGACAGTGTTTGAATATATTTATCTACATAAAGTTGAAAACAAACCAAGAACCAAGTTAAAAATATCTACAAGATGAATGAATTAAGAAAAAAAGGCAAATAAACCTCTAAATTATTGTTACATTCAGCTAAGAAACCACCAGTGGGGGGGGGGGAAATTACTACCTTTGCAAGACCATGCACTAGATACCAGCTGACATGTTTAACATCCCAAAATTCTAATAAATTGTCTTTTCAGAAGTCAAAATGTTTTAATGTATTTATTGAATAGAAGACATGGAATTTGTCCAGTTTATCCTTCAGTAAAAAAATACACTGATGAATTTAAAAGAAACATTTGCCAACTAATTATATTTGTTTTAAAAATCTCATGGGCAAGCACTAAACAACTCCAGAACTTGAACTGTTTCAAACTCCAGCTGTAAATATAAACTTCTTGTCCCTATGATAAACAGGTGATATTTTATTTTAAAAAATTAATTCCTTAATTTAAAAAACCATTTATTTCCATATTATTCTTCTAAACTAATTAAAAATTTTAGGATGTGGTGCCATTTTCCAACATACTAAGTTCCTCTCCCTTTCTCACGGGCGATGTCCCAGTCTCAATCCTCCCTACACTAATAAGCTCAGTAGTGCCCCATGCACATTGCTCTAAAGTGTCTGACAGCTATTTTTGTGATGATAAAAGTTCACAATTGCTGATCATTCTCAGAGAAATACGAAAGAACTTATATTTATGAATAGTTATGGCTCATTATGTCTTCCCTTTAATAAGCAACCTTAATCCTTTCAGACCTTCCACTTCAGCCACGGTTTGTAGATCTCTGCTCATTTGCTTTTGTCTGATTTCATCTTGGTTTAAAGCATCAGAACAGGTGAAAGTCTCTTTTCATTTACACTACATTAATAATGACTTAATAGGTTACATTTGTTTCACAGACAAGTTTTCTCACCTGTATCCAAACTGACACCTCAGGAGCATTTAAAAAAAAAAATTGCTTCAATATTTTACTTACATGTTTTCCTCTCCAACAATGCAGATGGCAGAAAGTATTTTCACTGTTTCAGTCATCATGTGTGGTTGCTTTGGATCAATTGCTCTTGATAACAGCAATAGACCTCTTTGATCTCCTAAAATCCTTTGCAAACCGTACTTAAAGAAACAGAAAGCTTACAGTGAAAAGACTGTATTTGCCTTGGATACTCATCATCATCTTTGGGCTTCAGATCCTTAGGAATTCTCTCAAACCCTCCCTCCCATATCAAGTTTGGCAAACATCTACTAAAACCTCCTGCTTATTACTGCTTGGGGACACTGGTCAGTCTTCCCAGTCTTACAACTGAGGCTATCTCCTGAGAGAGAGAGTCAGTCAGCTCCTCAGGAAGACATTTATCTTATAAAATCAGGTATCCACCAAAAGAAAAATTAGGGGTTTTTTCTATCTATATCTGAAACACCTCAGCAGTATGAAAAATTTATTCATTTTTCCCACTTCATTAGGCAGGCTATCCCATGAGATTTTTCTAAACTGAGTAAAAGTAGTTAAAAACATTTTTTATGCAGTTTTATTTGCTGGGGAAAATAAATACAAGACTTCAGCTTTTGCTATGCATAAATCAGAATTACAAGTCTAACACATCAACTTCTAGAAATAGTACTTATACTTTGTGAACATGAGCAACTCATATTAGAAACAAATTAGATATTTGTTAGATAATCTAATCCTTTAACCACTGCCTACCAACTTAAAAATTGCAGCTAAAAAGAAATTAAATCACACTCAATTTAAAAATCAGTTGAAAAGTACACTATGTTAACAATCATATATTGAAATCTGAATTTAGAAATATTTTTCTTTCAATTTCCAAGCAATTGATTTCCAAATTCAATTACCTTAATTTACACTATCATCCTCTGTCAAATATTTTACTTCCAAAAATCAATAGTACTTAACAAACCTAAGAAAAAATGCATATTCAAAAAGATTCATTTAAAAGATTCTCAACAGAAGTTGCACTAAAATTTAAGACCTGCACTTCCAAAGAGTTAACTAACACTGAACATACAAACTTTCCTTCCTTCTCCAAGATCTAACATGCTACATAGATCTTGAACTCATCAAGAAACAATAATTGGAATTTAAAATAATACTTACTTTATTGTTCATAAATGCTCTGAGGCACTGGATAAGTTTGTGTTGATTCTTCTTATCAATACTTTCTTGCCTTGAAAGGAACGAGGAAAATAATGTAAGTAAAATCTTCACAACCTCCCCACACCTCCCATCAGATGGTCCAAGTCCTTACTGTTTCTTGTCCAGAAGCTTTTCCAATGCATCCAACAGAAGCCCAAGCCCTTCATGTCCAAAATTGTTAACCCAGCTGGAAAAAAAAAAAAAAAGGAAAAGAAATGCTCTTAAATATTTCTTAATCAAATTTAAATCGTGTAAAGGTATGTCTCCATTACTGCCTGTACATCCCTTCATGGGCTCTGCTTTCAGTCTGACTTCCTAGAAGACCTTATCAACCATCAAGACAAACACACAGTTCCAACAACTACAAGTTGTTCAGAACCACTGTGAGAGGTGAGGAGATATTGCAGACAGTTGCAAACATTTCACTCATCCTTTTCCAGTGTGCTGAGAACACCGCTCTCATGTCAACATTCATTTGCATAATTACTCTGGTGTCCAAAAAAAAAAAAAAACAAAACCACAAACCAAACCCCACAACTCTTTCTTGCTTAGCAAAAACAGCATGATGAAAACTAGTGCAGGAATTGCTACTCACCTGACTGGATTGCTGGTTAGAGACACTCTCAAAGACTCCAGGCAATTAAGAAGTTTTTCATCTGAAATTCCAGATCGCAGTTCATGGATATATTCTTGTGAGGACAGTGTGCATTCATGTTTGCTGTTTTTCAGTCCACCCTATCACAGGAGGCAGAATGCTGCTTAGTGTTCTATTCATCATAGTAGTGTTGAGATGATAAAATATGAGACTAATATTTCCACATGAATTTTTAAACCACACTACAAGTATTAAAGAGACGTGACTTGACTTGGATTTGTCATCAATGTTCAATACTTTCGGGTTTGCATCACAAGGGTAAGTAATTTTTCTGGAATCTTTTTCATTTCTTTGAGTAAAAGTGCATGCACTACAAACTGAATATAAACATTTAATTCCATCATTCAACTGTATTAACATGTTAAATAAGTGTGCAGCAGTTAAACATCTACTTCACAAAAAACTGTATTAGAAACAATCATAAACAGAGACACACAAAAAACCCCACAGTTCGTGCAACTGCATGACTCAATTTCTTGCTGTACCATAATTCCATGTTTGGCCCCTAATAGAGATCTCCAGAGGATCTTGTTTGCTACAAAAGAATCATATGGGAGATTTGACAAAGAGCTCGTCTCCCTGCTGAACTGCCACTACAGAAGAATAACTACTTACAAGGTATTTTAGTATTAAAATCACTGATTATCAGTTTTTAGAGCTGTCACATTCAAACCCATGAACAATACACAAAATATTTTACCAAAGGGTGCAGGTAATCTTTTGTACAGCTCTGACAAGTTGCAGTGGGCTTATCTCAGAAGAGTGATTGTGATTGATATGCAGTTCCTAAAGCTCCTTAGCTCTGAAGGGTCTGTTGAGGAGAACCTCATAAGGATGTCAAGGGTGTAAAGGCAACATGAGACATGCCTGACCTAGAACAGGATTTATATGTATTTGGTTTTAACTGTATCAGGAACTCCCACTACTAATATACTTCTTATGAAGTTTCTGGTTTGTTGTAATAAAATCTTTACCATTCATTTTCCAAAAGTGACACTAAGTATGGCTGATGACAAAAAAACTTGCCTAAATTTAAGTTAATGACTTTGACTGACATATTTCTATTATGTGCATTGAATCTAAGTTCACAACATACTTTCAGATTCAGAACAAAATCATGACAGACTGTAAATGCATTGAGACAGCAGCATCCTCTGGACTGTGTCAACTTGTAAGATATTTCTTGCTGACATGCACAGCACCTTTCACTGGACATGTCAGCTATACATCAAAGGACCAAGACAGACAAAGATGACTAAGTAGGATATAAAGGAGGTACAATCAGTCACCATCAACATCCTAAACCAAGATGTGGTCTTCCACAGAAAGGCAAATAAATGAGTGGGGATGATCTTTACAAGAGGAAGGACTGACTGTAAATCAGGTAAATATATCAAAAATCATCATAGTTCAGAAACACCATTATTCTGAAAGATCAGAATGTAAAGAACTAGAAAATCAGAAGAGCTTTATGCTCCTCATTGAATGGATGGAAGGCAGAAGAGATTTTATGTGTAACTAATGTACAGCATCTACACAATAAGGATCTACACTGGACACAATTTTTGTCATTTCGCCCCTCTTCCAAACTACAAAAGAAGTACTGCTGTAAGCCTCAAAATGAATAGAGAGAAGAGATAATGGCAACTTTATTAAGCTAGATCCTAAAAGCCAGTCTAGAATGCAAGAATCCAAGACAATTGTTTTTCCAGAGTGATTATTTCCTGTCATTACTGCCCTTCCACTGCAGTGCTTGGGATCCCATGGAAAACTCAAATAAGTTAAAGCTCCAAAGTTGCCATGAACAGGCAAACCTCTTCTCTGCAACTGTCACTACAACCCAACAGCATCAACATTCCAAAATTCTTTTCCATATCCACAGTAAATCTGTAAATCTTCAGGAAAATAGCTACATATGCTGGCAGATCAAAAAACTCCTGAAGGATGAATCCTGTGACAACATACCCTGTGAAGGAGCACACCAAGTGCAATCATTCTTGAAGCAATAAGATGCAGAAGCCATACCTTAAGCACAGCACATGTTATTTTACTATTTAGCAAATTATTTGTACAAAACATTTTAATGTACTTGTAATGCAGAACAATTCTTGATCTTTATCAGACCCTGAATTAAAAGGCATGGGGAAAAAAAACAGATATTAAGAATTTCTCCCCTTGCTCATTCTGCAAATATCAGCTTGCTTTATAAAATAATCTCTTCACAAAACAGGTGTTCAGGCGAATTCATATCATAAGGAAATTATATGGCAGCAGGGATTATCTGAAACTGGTTTGAACACACTGAACTGGAAAATTAATAATCTGTCCCCTCAAAAATCAAATACCTTTAAATACACAAGCACAGGGAAAGTATTCTCCTCTATCAGAGGAAGAACCAGGACTGTGTACAAAACTGCAAAGTACTGGTGAACACAAAGTCTGCTTAAAGACCACTCTGAATAAAACAAAGCCAACAGAAAGTTCTTTGTCCTGTACACTATATTTTGTATATTTAACTAAATCTGAGGTTATGATTAGACAGTTTTAATTCATAAGCTATTCTCTATTATTTTTACTACAGAATATAATTACTGAGTATGACCTTAGTAGAAAGCCTTGCAGTACCTGAAAGGCCTATTTTGGCTGAAATAAAAAATAACGTTCATCTGTAACTAAGAAGAACATCTTTGCTTTCAGCCCCTATTTTAAATTCTAGGAAATAAATTAATTCCCAAATTTTTTTTTTATAATATTTTCATTCAATCATGACAACATAAAATGTAGATGAGCTCTTAAAAAGATACGCTGTCAGTGATTTCATCTTATGCTTACTAATTGAGTAATTCTGAATCCTCTAAATTAATCTTATTCTCACACTGATATGCAGTAGTTGGCATTTCCAAGACCAACTAGGACATAGAAAAAATTCCACATCTAAACAGAAGGAATTAAGCCAAATACTGTCAATTTAAAGCTTCAAGTGCCTGCCTTCAACAAAAAGCAAGACAAGCCTGAATTATAATTGTTGCTCACAATGAAGAGATGAGCTCAGTGAGTCTGAAGTATTTGGAAACAGACTCCTGAAGACTTAAAAGCAGATCGCTCAAAAGTGCAAGCAATGATATTATACTGGTAACATGAATATGACTGAGCTGGTTGATAATTAAAAAAAGGATTCAGTTATGCCCGCTGAACTTCTAATTCCCAGATTAAAGTCCAAAATATTCCAGCCTAATCTTAAAAAATGGAAGTTTATTCAAAAGGAAAAACAAAACCATCATATTTGTACTCACCGGAACTTTACTTCCGACTATCTGCATGCAGTGGTCAGCCAAGAGAGTTATTGTGTGAAAAAGATAATAATAATACATAAATAAACACAGCAAAGTACTTAGTAGGATGTAGTATCACACACATTTTTCAGTGTTTAATCATTAGTAGTAGTTACATTCTTGTACTATATTATCAAACTGTCTAAGAGTGAGAGCTTCTCAACAGGAAAACAGTAGTTCTGCTGTAGGAGAAACAATTTCAAATTCTTATGTTCCACTGCTGAATCATCAGTATTTGACACATTTACCAACAGATAACTAAATACCTGGCTTGACAGCTACATCTTGAAATATTAAGCATGCCATTTGGTTAAAATTTTTAGGTCAGAAATTATACATATGAAACTGAGAAAACTACAGAAAACACTAATGGCATACTCACTTCCTTGGATGTATAACAACTTCATATATTACGGAGCTTTTGATCTATTTAGATGATGTCACCACTAAATTTAATTAAGTTTTCATAATCAAAAACATAGCCTACAGTTATAACTCTAACTTGCATTTCAGAAAATCTCGTATGGCATTTTTATTCAACTGCTCGGTATGGATGCTTTTAATTACACGGATAATTAAACAGTGATTTTCAGAATTCCATCTTCTCTTTTTACCATGGAATAGCATCTCTGCATATTCCCGAACAAGAAGTTGACTTTCCACAGAGGAAACTGCACAGGAAGGCAGTACATCTGTACCCTGTTCTCTCACTTTGCACAAATGGCTGTGTTCTGGGAACACCAGGGCTACGGACTTGCGCTCAAATATTGCTGGCCTTTCCTTGTCAGCTGTTTGCTGCAACCTGATGGAGGCAGTCCCTTTACTGAATAACCACTTTTGTCTGATTAAGAGCCTGATTTTGTTCTGAGATCTGAATTTGACTGTATCTGTTCAGCCTCCACCTGCTTCACTTTCTACTCTTATCTCTTCTATTATTACTTTAGGAAGTCTTTCAGAAGCAGAAGTCCCTGCAAGGCTTTCACAATCACCTTTTCTCTCCACTTCCTGACGAAGCTTCCTCTAGAAGCACAAGATGAACTGTCATCACCAGACAATCTCTTTTCCTAATTTACTACCTTCTTCTCTCACCAATGTAGAGTATCCAACATGGAATGAAGTGTCACCAAGTTCAGCTCTGAAACAGAATTTAATTCCTTCACCATTGTAATTTCCCTGGTCAACAATCTTTCTCTTCGAGCAAGAGAAGTAATCAGAAAATCACTTCACATGAAAGCATCCAGCTAATCAGCTTCTACCTGTCCTCCACCCCAAGAAATAGGAAAGCTTTCTTCATCCATGAAACCCAAGTTTTCTTTCTCACTCAGAACTCTGAAGACAGAAGTGTTTCAGAAAAGCATGGTCAACATGCTGCAGATGGCACACAGGCAGAGGAAACAAGCACCAAATTCAAAAATAATTTGGTCAAGACAACAACAGAAATGAAAGTGATACTTTCACTTGAGTTGAGAGAAATCAAAAGCCTAATTAAAACAAACATGAAATGAACCACAAGACAAGCTGTATCAACTGTTAAGTGTGTTTTGTGAGCTCTAAGCGGAAGAAAAAGTCTAAGTATTTTCAATGTAAAAAGGGAATATCTGTGACCAAAGAAAAAGGTCGAAATTGTAAGACATTTTAAGATCACTTTGAATTCAACCAGCATTTTCATGGAAGACAATCCTGAAGAAAAGAAAGTTGGACAGCTCATGATGCAATAAAGATTAATTAGGGCTTGAATTCATGTGAGCAGAATTGTAGTTTCACTAAACAAAAGATGAATTTAAAAGGAAAATGAGTTTTGCTCCATTGTAAGAGCCCAATCATAGCTATACAATTAAGGTCTATATTTCTAATTATTTTTTTATCAATTAAGATGCTAGTTATGTGAAAATTGAACTGGGGTAACATGCTACAGAAGGGTAGTTTATATTTCTGCATAGTTCCATTCAAATGCTGTGATTCAATTGCAGAAAGGACACACTGAAGCACACAGACTTCAATATGAGACATTTTTCCACTAGGAAGAACATTTTGCATATGTGTAAAACATCCATACTGGTGCTGACTTAAGCTCAAAGTGCACATTCACATACAAGGACCTTTTGGAATTATTTTTTTTTCAATTGTTAGTACATTTTGACAAACATATTCCCAGTTCAGTTAAGTTCACCATGCTGCAGCACATATGGTGGCAGGAATGCAATCTGTTAAAGTTCCAGCAGTTAGCCATGCAATGGGAGCCATGCTTTCCTTACTCAGCTATGAAATTAGGGTACATTTCAACATCAGCATACACGAGAGAGATCACCATTGTTCAACTACTTGTTGGAAAGAATTGGAAGTACTTTCACTTGCACTTTGTGCTTTCCCTTTCTACTGCTTTAATGAAATATTTTTACTTACCAAGACATTGATCACTGAGTGAAACCAAAAACCTTAGAAAGCACAATTAGTAGTTCCCAAAGATGTTCTAGGCAAAGTACATTAACAGGCAAGTTCATACCATTCACTGCATAAGCTTGAATAATTCTCCAATAACTTGTATGTTTAGTCAGTCCATGCTTTAAGCACGGGATTCCTTCCAGCACAGACTAAAGAACTGTGGATTTTGTTTAAGATGAACTCAAGCAGGAACATAACTCCTCTCAGAAACTCAATAACCATTTTCATTACCATTTCATTACCATTTCATCACCATTATAATGCAAGATTCTCCTCACTGAAGTTTATGTTTCATGCAAGGCATTTGCATAATAATTGCATGTCATTGTAGTCCTAATTTTTTGAAATTTAACTCTGCAGAGCTGATTTTCAAGGTTAAAAAGAGACAAGTCAGCTGTACTGCTTGCAGTCCATGCTTGTAGATTCATTAGGTAGACACCAACATAATATTATTTGCCAGTTTATTTCCCCACAAAACAGATTGCTTAATGCTGTCTGAATTTAGCACTCAGCTCTGCAGAAGGGCTGCCATTACATGTTTGAACAATTACTCCACGAGTGGTCTTCATTACCAGTAAGCTTTTATTGTACACAACAACTTAAGTACGACAAAAAGATGAGATTCATCAGATTCATTCTCGTTTCCAAAGACAATCACATGCATTACCTAATTTTATTGAAGAACTACACTGATAGCAAATTTTGCCACTTGAAGCACACTATTGCCCTTTGGAAACAAAGAGCTACCCCTCAGCACCACTTCTCCCCAACACTTCAACTCATTCAGTTCCTCAGAATATAGGAACTTGGAATACCACTAGCAACTTCCTTAACAACAAAAAGGGGTACAAATCAGGACAAAAGCTGTTTCTAAGAAATCACAACACCCAACCTGCACAAGTTTTTGTGGCATATTCTTTTACATGATAAGAACTACATATGCCATGGTCAATTTTTAGCACACGGAAAGTACTAGTGTTGTATTTTATAACCAATTAGTACTAATAGTTCAAGTGCAGAAAATAAATAGTAGCTCTTCACTATTTCAAATTGTATTTCTCCCCCTCAAAAACCGTTGGGGCATCCAGTCATTTCCTTAAAATTTTGGCACCTTGAAAAATTTAGGTTTCAAAAATTCCACATGAAGGCTCAGCAAACAAAGGGTTAATCATTCAATTAAAGAACAGAAAATAACAACACAAATGAGAGGTCCAAATATCTTTTTCCTATTCAAAATGTAATTTGAACCTCATTTTAAGATCATCCTTTCACTAAGTGAAAGGAATCCAGTATGTACGTCACTGCTTGAAATCATGAAGTCATGTTATCCCTTCCAAAAACTTTTGGTACTAAAAATTCCTAAGACGAATTCCACAGAAGTACGCTCAGCTTTCATCCCTGACTCTACATCACTTGATTTGCAATTTCCTGAATATTACAGGAAAGGACCAAGTTTTTACATTGCCCAGCAACTGAAACACAAACTAACCCTTCAGAAGCAGCTGCAAGTATTTCAAAGTATATTTGTAAGTACAAGTTTTCTTATTTGTTCCTACCATTCTTACATAAATCCAGAAAAAAAAAAAAAAAGTTTCAAGCTTGAAAAGTGTAACACTCAAAAAGTTAAGCTTCTTTCCTCTGTCTTGGAGAGGTGAGTACTTACGGATTTGGCAGTTGCAGAAATGTACTGGACAACCATCTCCCGTTTTGTGCTCAAGTCTTTATCTCTTAAAGGAGCTTTACGTTCCTCATTTAGGTTCATGTCTTCCTGTAAAGAAACAGCCCACACAACATCAAGAATCTATTGCATGCTTTTTACTAGTCTTTGTTCACTTTATGCTACTTTTGTTAAACAAACAAGAAGTCACTTTTGCCAGTTTATCTGCAGGTGGTTTTTTTAATTCTGAGCTACCCAATTTTCCCATTTAATTCTGTCACCTCTTGTGTTCACCGTTTTTGAGACTTGGACAAAATTCTAATTTAAATAAAAGGTAGTTAATTTACTTAATTTAAATAAAGGGTAGTTTACATTGGTGAAATTTGGCTCAAGAAAGACAACTAGAGTACACAAAAATCCCACACCTCAAGTTGATACCTATATGGTAACGCTTGTGAAGTTTCCTGTGGTTTTAATACAACCTTATCACAACAGACACCATTCCTGCCCTATCTAATCAGAAGGTTGATTATTAGCTTGTAGAAATCGTAGATGTGAAAGTGTTCCAACTGATGTATTTAAAACAAGCCTAGAAGTCAAAACATTCTGCTAGATAAAACCCAAAGATGCCTGTTTTAACTTAGTAACTGATTAATGTAATCATTACTGGTCATGGCACTAAAAGTCAAAGTAACTTCAGATGAAAAACTAAAGCCGGTAAATGTTACTGTAAGAACTTACTAGTGAACACCTTTGTCAGAGAATTCTGAGTCTCTCAAGACAGACCTATTGTCTGCTTCAATTAACATTACCTGGAAAAGTTAAAAACTAATCCCTTAACCTAACAAGCAAATCAAGCAAGTGTTAATTAACACTTATCCAAGAGATTCACACTTTCATTGACCAGAGCAGAACCACACAATGGAACAGTTCTTGACTGCGTGGAAGTGTACAACAATTTTGAAGAATGATACAGCAAACTGTATTTCTAAAAATACTCAGAAAAACTCATTTCCTGATACTTCATGTACCAACAACAGTGTGCACAGCAGGACACACCTACTTCAGTTTTTGTATTACTAATGGAAAGGTTGCCTTGTGAGTAGAATCAAAAGCCTTAATAAATGATCCTATGACAGTGGATATTCAAAACTATGCAACAATTCAGCTTTCTAGGCATTAATATTTTATTAATAGAAAATACTATTTTCCAACAGTATTTATTAACTTAAGTTCATTAAAAACTGTCCTTCAACAGCAGTATCTAACTACTGCAATGAAGGTCTACAGGCGTTGTTTTAATGAAGCAATCAACAGTGACTTTTTTTTTTTTAATTTAGGGTTGTTTTGCCTTTGTTTTGCCTGTAGAGGTAGACCAAATCATTAAAACATCTCTAATACTGGCATTTTCTCAATTAAATTGTTTACGTGCCAGTTTACACAGATCTATTTGGTATCCTGTAGTATCCTGTGCCCTCACAAGGAGATAATGCTGCCCAAAATTACAATATTTGAAAACAACTGCTATACAATAAATACTAACTTGGAACCAAATTAAAATTCATAAAACTATGTGGAATATCATCTTACCATCATTTTTTCAAAGAGATCCATCACTTCTTTTTCTGATAAGTTCATGCAGCGCTCATCAGCAAGAGCCTGGGCATGGGGGATCTCACTAATGGAAGGCTGGGAGTCAATAGGATGCTGAATAAGAGGCTTCTCTTTTTTCACTGCTGATCTCCTGAAGCTTGTAATCCTGTCACGCTGCAAAGACATTCATTCAAAAGTAAGCAGAAATCGAAATACAGGAAAGCAGCCAGTACACACATTTTCAGTTAATTTAAGCAGCAGCGTTAAAACTCAAACTGAACTGTAAGTAAAAATACTCTTCATGTTCAGAGATAACTTCTCCCAGAAAGACAATAACATATAAGGTAAACCCATGACAGGTCACATGCAAAAGCAATATAAATATTTCTCACAGCTTCAAAACTATACCATCTAGGCTAAACTCTAAGCATTTCAAAATCTTCAGCTCATCTTCTCACATTACTCCCTAATTATCCTGATAGCGAATAAATATGGTACCACAAAGGTAATGTCCAAGCGTTCCTTCACCTGAAGAGCTATAAGTCTTTGGAGGACAACTGAAAAAGCCAGCGTTGGGAAGGAGGTACTCACAAGTTCATCAGGCTTACAAAAAAATCCTGCTAAAGTAAAATAAAGTTTGTAGAGGAATTAATGCTCCAAGCATAGTTCACAATTCCTTGAAGTGTTTTTGAGTACAGACTCCTGAAATTAGTGCAAAATTTTAAAAAGCCAAGTAATGGATTACTGACACAGAAGCAGCCACCCATAGTTAAATACACATAACAGACATTAGTGAAAGCATGTCATACAATCTGCCACTGACTTGCTTTAGCCCTTACACCAAACCCCCAGCTTTGTTTTTTTAAGCATGCTTACTCAGTTACTTTGTTAATATTGGAAACAACCAACAAGGGCACCTTCCTCATAAGGCCATTTATTACATTTTTTAAAAAAAATAACTCTATTCTAAATAGAGTCTGAATCTTTTCACTTAGTAACTGCCTTTAATTTTATATATATATATGTATGTAATTATGTGTATATACATATGTATTCATTTTGAGAATGTTCTGCCTATAGCAATTTTTCTCAATTAACTGTTTGCATCAACAAATACCCCTGTATTTGTTTCAGGCACTGAACAGCCTTATGAAGATGTGCTTTCATCTAACAGCAGCTTATGTAGGGTTACCAGGATCATTCATTGCAGTTATGCCATCTCCATGAAAACATGGAAACCAACATTTATACTTGCTACACTTATACAACCTCTGTGAGGCGTGAAGAGCTCAGTGAAATATTTCACTTGCAAAAATTTTGATTCATTTTAGATTAGCGAGTCCAGAGTGGAGAAATCTGAGCAAGTGCTGTAGAGTATATAGAAAAAGGATTTTTTTTCCTGTCCTCATTTTGTTTCTTTTTCTTTTTTTTTTTTTTTTTTTTTTTTTTTTTTTTTTTTTTTTTTTTTTTTTTTTTTTTTTTTTTTGGTTGTTGTTCTTTTTCTTTTTTCATTTTTGTTTTTTTGAGATGCTAAAAGATTACCTTAAAGTTTTGAAGTAAAGTATCCCTAGATAAGCTGCATTCCCTTTGAATTTCTTTTGAGCTTTTCAGGGGGTTTTGTGTTTGCTGAAGGGAGGGTGGGTTTTCTTCTTCCTTAGAAATCTTACATTTGTGGACAGAAACACAGTACCTACAAGGATACAGTTGATGTCTTTAACAAGCAAGAATATTACTTTAATCTTTTTTTTTACCTTATTAGAATAGCTTAAATTACGTTTCTGTAAACTAAAATTAGGGCATAGCCCATTGAAAAGGCCAAGGATAGGATGCAATGCCTGAAAGGCAGTATCCAAATTTAGCCGATATCCACCAGATGAAGTGTAACTGCTCACTTATTTTAAAAAGCCCACTCAGCAGTCACAAAAAGTTATTTAAGATCCAATTTCACCATGCAGTGATCTGTTTCAACAACAGATATGTTTCAATTTATTAACAACAAATTTGTTTAATGAGACTGTAATGGAGAGATTGCTTTGAAGCCACAAATAAATCATTTATATGATTACTAGGTACAACCTCCTCATTTCAGACATGTAGAATCTCAGGAACTGAATAGCCAGTGTGACTTAACTGTTATATATATAATAAAAGTTTTTCATTTTAATGGAATAGATTTTGATACAAGTTTTTACAAAAATACTTTGCAACAGGTTTCAAAGTATTCAGTGTTATAAACTTAGTGCTACTGAACACGTGTTGTTTGGCATTCAGTGTACACTTATTACCCAGTATGGTTCCACTTGAATCATGTGGCAACTGAATTTGAAGAACCACTGCAGATCCTTTACTGTTAAAGAGAAGGTCAAGAGAAATAACACTTGAACCGTTGAGTAACACTTTCAGCATATCCACAATATTACTAAAGTATTTAGAATGTGGTCAAGGAAGTTTCTTCAAATAGAAATCACAATTAATCTTCTTCAACAGAAATTACAAATTAGGATGTTTAGGAAGAGTCACTCAATTTTCTGCAATCTATTGCTCAATATCCTTATAAGAACATGTAATTTTGTCCACAACATTTGAAGTAAAGTAGCATGCAGCGTGGAGTTACCATTGCAAATTAAGATGCTACAAAGACCTTACCACATCATCTGCCAAAGTTTTTATTTGAATATTCTATTAAAAAAAAAAAAAACAACACACACAAATCAAAGAAAAAAAGACAATGTTACCTACTGTTTCAGAATAAAGAAGTCTGTATTTCATGTATTCGAACATTTAAAAGCATTTGAAATTTCACTATGTGTTTTAATAATGCTAGCTGAACATGGAATACACTGCATTTTCTGTGAAAAAGCAAGCTTGTGTCCCATGCACCTTGTCTTTTGACTATTTAATTCATGAACCTGAAACCTGCATTGTTCTAGTACCAGCAGTATTGCATAAAAATACAGCAAGATCTCTTAGAAGGCTTTCCAAAACAAACACGGACTCCTGGACCTCAAACTGCGTCAGCAGAGAGTTATGTGACATTCTCAGCTCTGACCATTTTTGAGACTCGGAGCTGAGGAGAATTTCCTGTGCCCAAGTTTCTGAAGCCTTCTGCCAACTTCTACACTGAGTAATGTCAATTAGTAGATGAACTGGTTAAAGTCACTGAACTGGTGATTCACAAACCACTCATTATCATCTCTCCCTCCCTTGTACCCACTCATTTTTTCCTTAACAGTAAGAAAATCCTGCTGACAAAAATCACCAATGTTACATTTCTATTCGTGGCCAAAACCACTTATACTGCACACCAATATCAATAATGGTTATCAACAAAGCATTCAGTTCATGAACTTCGCTCAATTTGCACCAAGTTGTGAATAGGAAATAAGGTGTAGAACTTATGGCAGGGGACAGAATTCGAGAAGCTTCCAGAAATATGTGGGACAGTGCGGTGGACTGGCCCTGGTTGGTAGGTCAGTCCCCATAGAGCCACTTGCTCATTCCCTCTCAGCAGGATCATGTAGAGAATCAGAAGTGCAAAAGCAAGACCTACCAGTGCTGAAGCACTGGTGCTCTATCAACAGTGCTTTGATCACAAATCTAGGACACAGCACCACATGGGTTGCTATGAACAAACTCCACCTCAGCCTGACCCAGCACAGACGTCTGTACATCCAGATGTTGACACCTTCACCTTCCAAACTGCTACATCTCAATGCCCTTCCTTATGCCTATTCTGTATTTTCATTACATGGACTTAGTATGGATCTTATAATCCTGAAATCAAAACGAAGATGTCTATACCCTGGTAAATAGATCTTTTCTTTTTAATAGAGATTATTGAGCAAAATGAAGTAAAGCCTAACCATGATTTCAACCCAGATACAACTGCGCAAGCAACAAGTTCTAAAACTACATATCCATTTTAGCTGTTACTTGTCCTAGAATTTTTTTTTCCCTTCTCATTTAAGCACTGTCAATCTCTCCCTGAACCTGGAACAGGATAATCTACCCCATCTCTACACTTATATTGCATTTGTCACTCAAACTCCTCTGGGCAAAATACAGAATACTAAAACATGATACCACACAGGATTTTTTCAGACACCTCAAGCACTCTTCCCAGATATCCTTATAGTGTGTAAGCTACATTGCTGCCAGCAGATACTCAAGATAAGCAACACATTTAACAGGTAGGAGAGAAACTGCAAGCATCTGGAGGCAAAGTTGAAGCAGTTATGTACCTGTAACTTCTCATACTATTTTGACAATCTCTTATACTAACAAAGAAATCACACTTCCAGTCTGATTTCAGAACATAAACCAAAAGTAGTTTACCTCCCTAGAAGGAAGTTTAAGATATTGTGGATTTTGTAGGCCTCTAGCATTATTCTTTCAGCCATCTATAAGACAGCAGAGCAACACAAGACAAAAAGAAATGAACCCTCTCCTAGCTTGTTTAAGACACTGACTCCTTGCTTTGAGAAGCAGCCCAAAGGAAAAGGTTTTGCAATAACCTCTATGATTAAACATTTGTAAATAAGATATATCAAATTAATATTTGTATGTATAAATATACATACAATTTAAGACAGCAGCATATCGTCTCTGTTTTTAATACCAACACAAACCCCAGGATTTCTTCAGCATCTATAGCAAAGAACTATTTCCTACTGATTTACCTAGTTCTTTACTTAAAAGACTTCAGTCAAGAAGCTTCTCCCTTTCAAACACATTATTTCCAGTTTATCAATAGTTAATATCATCTTCTATTTACTCTTCCTGATTTTAGTTTATGTATCTGACTACTTGCATTAGTACAGAGAGATCATGTCAGTAAAGCACAAAAGTCACACCATATACTAATGCAACTGCAGCAGACAATTCTTTAATCTTAAAAGGCCAATCTCAGCCATGTAAATATCCAGAGTAATGAAAATCTTGCACATGAAAACAGCAGAAAGGTATTCATAGTTCACTACATTTCTTTTTATAGAAACCACTATTTCCTCATGCAAGCTCAATTCAGGCTACAGCAGCAACAATGTCACATCCACAGAATAAAATTACTTGAGATGACTGCATCAACTTTTAATGCAAAAAGCACAGCAAGTCTACTTTTCCTTATATATTTTTCTAACTTTTGTCTTAATAAAACATTCCAGAGTGGACACGAGTTTTAAATTGAAGTGAATTTACATGTGTGGATTGATCTTACCATCATATTTAAATATTACTTTGCCATGTTCTTAATTGTTACACTAAAGACTCACTTCCACCACAAAAATAAAATCAAAAGTAACTTCCAGTTCACCACATGTACAGGGAAACAATGATCACTGGATAACTTCTAAACTTGACAGCAATTTTAACTCCAATGCCCACTGTCCAAGCAAACTGTGGTGTTCTCCAAGCAATGCTCATTTTCTAAGGCTAGCAAACAGAAACTTGACCTTCTCTAAACTTTTTTTTTTTTTTCTCAATTGAGATGATATGACTGTTTTCTAAAATTTACCTCGGCTTCAGCACCTGCAGAAGCCTTGGTAAAGCTTCTCTCAAGGACAAGTGGTTTTTAACAGTCTGCAAAGACATTTGCATACAAACCAGGAAGGCAATAACTGCCCACATGAGTACCTGAAACAAGGAAGTTTAAAGGGACAAAACCCAAAGCCGGTTAATATCTGAAGTACAAAATGTTGTCTGCAACTTGAAACTAGGTCTTACAGTCACAAAATAGAATTCACTCCTACAACCTCTGTTCTTCAGTTCAGAAAATGAATAATGTTCCCATTAGACAATTTAACTGTCTGTTAACATATTCAATTTTGTAATTAAATCTAAAAAAGCACCTAGGAAATTTTGAAAAGATACCCAAGTCATACAGGCTGATGTGCAAAAACCAGAACTGCACACACTCATTTAGGCCTTTCAAGATATTTATCCATGATAGAGTATATCTGGCATTACTAATAAAATTAGTAAAACATAATTCACAAAGTGTTTCCTTTAGTATAATATTTTTGCCATTTCAAGGACAATTCACCATGTTTAAAAACAAACAAACAAAAAACAAACAAACAAACAAAAAATCAAACTTGAAATTACTGCTGTAATCCATCTGCTGTCTCAAAGATACTTGAAGCAACTGAGTTTTGTTACTATTGTTGTATATTTACATTTGGCCTATATGACACCATATGGAAACATCTTGTTTGCTTCACAAGCTCCTTAAACATGCATTATTTAGGTGTTTAAACTAAGGCTTTATCTCAAACCTGAACATGAAGGTAAACCTTCCCTGGGGTTGTACAAGGAGCATGTGAACCCCTTACATCAGGCTGCCAAAATGCAGCTGGAAAATTGTTCGTGTTGGCAGCACTGAGTCAGTGCTGTTGGACTGGAGGGCGGCAGCCACCTCCCAGTCAGGAAGGTGCCTGCTTTTCCCAAATTCTCTACTTTTTTCTCCTCCAGGAGACTGACCACCCACAAAATGCTCTGAAAATAAGTTAGAGAATTTGTCGTACTAAATAAAGCCTAAGGGTCAGTCCGGCTGGTAAATCATTAACAGCAGAGGGCACCAATTGTTCAGTCGCAGTGCTGGAGATGCCTCAGCACTGCTCCCAAACAGGAGGGAGCAGGGAACGTGTCAGAGGAACAGGAATCATATTGGACACTTGCCACTGTCTGATCCTCAACGAGGAGAGAACCTCCACCACCTCCAGACCGTGTCTCTGTGCAAGGGGGACTGAGAGACCCTAAGCAGTGATCTGGTCTGGTCTGACTGAAAATGGAGGTTGAGGGAAACTGAAACAGCTTCCTCATTTTTGTCTGACTGGCAGATGACTGTCACACTCCAAAAGCAAAGGGGCTGCTCAAAAAACTTCAAAGAAGCCTTTACCAAAAAGCAAATCAATTCCAAGTTGGAAAAACAAAAAAAAATTAAAAAATCACTGTAAACAAAATTAGGTAGCCTTTATTTCATCAGATTTGTAACTGAAGATATAAAGGAGTTGAGGAAGACAATTCAACTAATATTGTTTGTTTATTTGCATTTCATATGTCCATTAGTGTTTTGAAAAGTTTCTTTGAAAAAATAATTAATTGATGTTCATCAATAAGCTTTAAAAATCAGACCAAAATTAAAAGCTTCTTCCAAAAGCTGCAGTTCCATGTCAGTCTAAGCCAACAAAATTGCTGATTGTGAGACACAGGGCAAGGATGGCACAAGGACAACGAGACCAGGTCAGACAACTGCAGAAACACTTTCAAGAAGCCTATTAGAAGAAGCAGTTCTCACATTAGCCAGTGCAGAGGAAAATAAAGTATGTTTTGTCATTTTCCAGAGCTACTTCTGGAGTCCCAACATTTTCCATCAAGTCTCTGCCCCAGCTAGATCAGAGAAGTTACCAATAAGGCAGCCCAGGATCAGCAGGGTTTATATTTATAACAGTTGTGCTACGGAACTGGTGAGTCCTTCATACAGCACCAGGTACAGCCAGGATCTGGTTCCTACTTTGATATCTAGTGAATCCTGCAGGACAGGTTTTTCTTTGAGCATCTTGAAAAAATGTCTCGTGACAATACAGCACACTTTTCATTATAAACAAATGTATTGTCTCTCTTCAGGGCACTCTACAGCTTTTTAATTCCTCAGTTAAAACTATTGAGCAACAGTTTGTTAG